CGGTTCGGGTTTATTCTTTCCTGTTGTGTGCTAAGTGTGGTCCTTTCGCAAACTTTATAACTAAAAAAACTTTTCACTACTCTCTATCGTCGAACTACTAACACTCTGCTATTTCCTCCTCCTTCTTCCTTCCTTCCGCTGTCTTCGTTGGTTCATTTATACACGCGAAACGCGTTCTCTGGCTGGCTGGATTGTCCACTCGGTCTGCCGTACATACATGGCGGCGCAAGATGGCGACCTCTCTAAAGCAAGGCCTTTGCTGGTTTCAAAAACAAACTGTTGGCCAGGGGTGTCCAAACTTTATTAAAAAAGGGGCCAGCTAAGCTAATGTGAAAATACCTGGGGGTCAGCTGCTTCTTTCATCAAATGGCTTATAAAAAAAAGACAAACGAAACAAGCAAACTGTTTCATATCCACAAACTGTATGGTAGCCCTGCTATTGTGAAGGAAAGAAATGATTAATGATCTTGCTTGATTAGCCAATATTGTGTGGTGGGCCACATCTATACATACATAGACATATATTTTAAAAATGTCAAGCAGGGGGCTGTTACAAATTGGTTCTCGGGCCAGACTTTGGACATGCCTGCTGTAGGTAGAGGTCAAGCAAGAGATCTGCACACTTCAATTCCAACTTATGTCCCTTTGCTGCATGTCATGTCATGTCATGTCATGTCACTGATGACAGGCTAACTGTTACTACACCACTGTAGCTTCCACATGCAAAGGGCCCCAGCTGGGAATCCAACCTGAGGTTGCTGCGGCAAGGACACAACCTTTGTACATGCGGTGCTGGCTGCTCTACCAGGTGAGCTACTCAGCGCCCCCCTCAAATGTATGCTTGACACTAAAACATGATGTATAAAATATATTAATTTACCAATAAGTATGGTTTTAATAGCTTGGTATGGTATGGCTTGCTATGCACCATAAAAAAGTATGTTCATAAATGGCACTAGAGGTCACTCTACATGTTTCTGTTGGCACAGTCTAATATGCAACTCAGGCTCATGCAGCATATGTCATAAAGGGTCCCTGCTCTGTCTTTCTTTCAGCTAAGGAGTCCTGATTGAGGGCCGCTTCTTTGAGCAATAAGGCTCATGAATATCTATAGTTGTAGTCAAGAAAGCCCATGAGAAAATCAAAACCGTATGTCTCTCAACATTTCTGAGTTCTCAGCCCCAAGCCCAGTTGACGCATGATGATATGAAGATGTAAGTCTTTATGCATATATGATAAATGATTTAATTAAACAGCTAGGGCCTCTGGTTTTTGGAGACAATGTCAACAGTGAGAAAATACAGAGCTATCATCAGACTTTAATATTGGAGTTGCATCAGACTGAAGTGGCAGAACATCTCTACTAACCTGGAGTCTGGGGACCAGACAGACCTCTGATGAATTCTCCGGGAAGTCTTGAGCTGTTTTCTGCATTTAGCAACACCCGTGCTATTTGTCCATGTTATCCATGGCACACTAGTTTTATTACTCAGCTGTTGGAGTGGGTAATGATTAGCATCATTTCTTTAAAAAAAAGTACAGGTACAGACCAAATCGGATCAGATTCAACACATTTGATGTAGAAACGTTCATGACGAAAGTAGAATTCTGCCTTTGAGTTTGTATTTCAGTGTTCATATCAGTACACACAGACTCACCTTCACAAAACTTCACACAGACAATGAGCACAGGTTCATTCACAAAACACTTTTGCCTCTGAGCAGAACAAAAGGCACAGAGTTCAGGGAGATAACATCTGACAATACATCATTAAGAGACATAGAAGTGCAATAATTTACAACAGCATCACTCATCCATCAGAGAGACATGGTGGCAGTCAGGCGTCATTATTTAAAGTTGCTTCAAAATACCATTTTTTTTTTGTTTGTTTTTGTTTTTTTACAGCAATCTGAATATTGACAAGAACAGAGATGTGATCCATAAGCAATCTCGTGTCACCACTGTGAAACTAATGCAGCTGTAAATGCACAGAAATGTACAGATTAGCCCTTGAATCAGATATGGAGTGCAAGAGCCAAGATAAAAAAACACAAACATTCACCAAACACTGATACACACTAAGCAATTTATATTTATCATTCGAGAGTTGTAAAATCCAACAGAATCAGTGAAATATATTCGTTATACTATAAATTACTTTGTAATGTGTGAGCCTACAACATATCCTTTATATACAGTGCAAGTGAGCAATAGAATAAAGAAGGATTATATGTGGTTTAAAGGACAGGTTCAGTTACTAATCACAAGCTCATACAGTGCGTACATTATATATGTTGTCACTAGTTCCTTTAATCATTCCTCCGGTCCATATTGGCCCTGAAGTGACTCCAGTGATTATTGGACAAACAGTAAATTGGTAACACTTTACTTGAAGGTATCTACATAATGGTGACATGACACTGTCATGAATTTGTCATAAACATTATGTACATGTCATTAACATTTATGACTGCTGTCATTAAGTGTCATTAGGTTTTTGTAATGACAAGTTGACATTGTTTGGGTTGTCTTGATTATGACAACTAAAGTGACATTATCAGGAGTTGTCTTTGTGATGACAAGTTGACATTAATTTTTTTTTTGGGATGTCCTTATAATGACAACTTGACATTAATCAAAGTGACATTACCAGAAGATGTCTTTGTCATGACAAGTTGACATTAAATTTGTTTGGGATGTCCTTATTATGACAACTTGACATTAACCAGGATGACATTACCAGAAGATGTATCTGTCATAACAACTTGACATTAACAAGAAATGCACCTCTTTTTGTGTTTATGACAAGTTGACATAATGATGATTATTGTTTTGACAGATACATCTTCTGGTAATGTCATCCTGGTTAATGTCAAGTTGTCATTATAAAAACATCCCAAACAAATTTAATGTCAACTTGTCATGACAAAGACAACTTCTGGTAATGTCACTTTGATTTATGTCAGGTTGTCATAATCAAGACAACCCAAACAATGTCAACTTGTCATTACAAAAACTGAATGACACTTAATGACAGCAGTCATAAACATTTGACCTGTACATAATGTTTATGACAGGTTCATGACTGTGTCATGTTATAGTTATGACAGTGTCATGTCACTCTTATGTAGATACCTTCAAGTAAAGTGTTAACACTAAATCTAATATGCGTCTGCCCAGCTTAGCCTAATCCCTCTGCCACCTTCCTGATAATTCAACTCAGAATTTTGATGTAATTTTTTTACCTTCCCAGTCACACGCTTAATCCAAAAACAACTTGTGGATGTAAAGCAAAAGCAAACACTGTGCCTTACAGAAATATTCTCAAAGAATACTGTGCCAAAAAGAAGTGTCAAACACTGGATTTTATTTTGTATCTGTAATTAATTGAAGTCACTTTGAAGAGATCTGTTCTCACTCAAACATGAAAGGTATACATTAATATTGATGTGGGGTGTTTTAAAAAAAAAAGCCTCAAAGAAATGTACTTTTATTGAGAGTGTTGTAAAACAGTAAAACAGTGGGTGAACACTTTTTATAGGCACTGCAGTTGGACTTATTAGCAATTAAGCTAGCAGCTTTTACCATTCAACAAAACCATACTGGACCAAATTATGCCTTTGGAACTTGGAGCGACATCACTTTTCTAGTGTTGCTTTGAGATGCCTTTTTCCAACCTTTGAACCCTGAGTAAATTGGTGGGAATTCTTTCAGAAACACGGGAAAATGGCAATGAGCAACTTGGTAAAAAATGTTCCACAAATTGCACCAAAAAAAAAAAAAAGATATAGAAAATTACTTTTAAAAAGCTAGGGAAAAATGAAAAGAAAATAGGGAATAATTATATTTATAATTAGCATTATTTCATTATATTATATTAAGAATTATATTACAGATTTTTAGGTTTTTCAGGTAACTTCCTTTTTTGTTTTTAATTTTCTTTTTTCCCTTTTTTTTAAAACTAATTTTCTTGTTTTTAATTATCTCTTTTTACTAATTTCTTGCTATGGGGGGGGGTAATTTCTTCTTTCATTGCTCATTGCCTTCTTCCCATGTTTTTGAAGCCAATTTGCTCAAATTTCGAAGGGTTAACTATGAACACATGAAAGACATAATCAGTTACAAGAGAGAACTGCTGCAAAAATAGAGTTCATGATAAGATGAAGGAAGTTAGCCTCCACCCAACATACTGGTGTTATTCAATAGGCTACACTGTGCATGGTGAATGTTTAGATATGTTATGCCCTGATGATATGCACCAGTATGGAGAGGAGGAATCATTAATTCTTTCAATATAATACATGTTAGCATGTGTAATAAAGGAATATTCCACTGATGTAGTGTTGCACTGCTTAGATAATTTTAGACTCATAATGGACAGGTTCAAAACTGACGCAGTAGAACCAGTGTTGTCTCTGTAACACACTTCTTCTTTGTAAAAACCTGGCGCAGACATTACCCACAATACAACTCAACTGCGACAGTTAGGTTGTAGATTTGGGTGTGTTATGCTAGTAGTGGCTAATTTAGCATCAAACAGAGATGAGGAGCTATAGAGGACTGACTTGTTTCTAACCTCTAACCTTCAGGGTTTTTTAATTTTCAAACATGTCTTCAGCCCCAACTGATGCTGACTCAAGTGATATCACTTGAGTCAGTATATCAGACTGTGCAGCTCCCGCTGGAGCTACAAAGCTTTATACATTTTTTTTTCACATTCAGTCGTACTCCCCAACAACTGTAAACAGACTTTAAAGAAACTCCATACAACATTCAGGGCATATTTATAATTGGGTATGGAGTATGGTCGTGATTGCCTACACATGGCTCTCAACATGGCAATGGCTGAGCAGATGGCTAGCAGTTAACAGTGCAAACAGTGCTACAATAGCAACAGTGTTGACAAAGCTAATGGTGTTGACCTGTGGTGGAACCAGAGGGCAGTTGCTAAGCTTCTGCTACAACCCTGTCCAGCCACCGTGGGTCAAGATAGCCTTGTCAATAGTAACCGCATTATGAGCGTAGCGCAGAGTGACTGCAATTAGCTAGCCAGTGGGACATGTACATAGATTTATAATAACACCTTGATACCAAATGCCAAGGTGCCGCCTGTTCATTCCAATTGAAGTGCTCGCCTGACGCATGCCCCAAAAAAAAGTTTCTACTTTCCAAGTTTACGTCTGCGGTATTGGGCCCACTGAATATCCTCCGTGTTTCTCCCGCTAGTCCCGCCTGCAAGTTCCTGCTCACCTCATAGATTTTACATTGTGATATTGTCAGGGGTTTGTAAATCGCTTTTCTTAGCTGCTGGAAAATTTTACAAACATAAAACCTCCATGGATAAAAAATTGATAATAAAAGAGTCAGTATTGACCTTGATTGCAGTTCAAGGTGTCCTGTCAACACCTTTACAAACATCTGTTTTATAATGGTGGCCTATGGGGAGAATGCTCTTTGAGCCACTGGGGATTTTTTTGCTGCAATACTGTGAGTGGCCACTGGGGAAAATTGGCTGCTGGTGGAGCAGCGTTCCTGGGAGCCTGGACATAAAGGGAGGGACTCATGCAGCTGGGTGGGCAGAGAAGCTCGTATTACAACACACAAGAGGTGGCGTGACTTTATTCTCTGCTCAGGACACCATTATTCCACTATATCCTTACACAACAAATAGTTGTTTACTGCTATATTAATGCTCTAATATTCATTATTATTATCACTTCTTTAATGCGTAAAATCAGTGAAGTTCTCCTTTAAGATAGACTTGTTGAATAATCTGAACCTGTTCTTTAACCTGTAACCTTGGTAAGTGTGTCACTGCCTTCATGACATTTCTTTTCTGTAATAATCTGTGACAGCAGTTCAAGTGCTGCATCAGGCTCAGCTCATTTTTTTACCAACACTTTAACACAAAAATCACATGCAGCACTTCATGCTGAAGATGACACTGACTACAGTATATATCAAGAAAATCCAAACGTGGGCAAAAGCAATAAGTCTGCTCTAACACTGCGGTCCGCCACATCAAGTCATTTTATTGTTGACGTTTGGGTTTTGGCCACACCAGTACAGCTTGTCTTCGCCTCTCCTCCTCCTCCTCCACTGGCAGAGCAGCAGCATGCGGAAGGTCTTCTGAAAGGTCTTGTTGCAGAGGGCGTAGCACATGGGGTTGATGGTGCTGTTGACGTAGCACAGCCAATAGCCCAGGTGCCACAGGGACGTGGGGATGCACTCGGCACAGAAGGTGGAGATGAGCACCATGATGTTGTATGGCGTCCATGTGAGGATGAAGGCCAGGAGGATGGCGCTGAGAGTCTGGGCTGCCTTCTTCTCCTTCACCAGCACCATCCTCTTCCTCTTGGTGATCTGGTTCTTCAGGACGGGGTCAATGGGTTTGGAGGTGGTGGAGGAGGAAGGGGAGGTGTTTTTGGGGGGCGGCTCTGCTTCAGGCAGGCAGGGCGTGGCAGTCGTAGGTTTGCCGTTTTTACCCTTTGAGCCAGGTTTGAATTTATAAGAGATGCGTTTTTTACTGCTCTTCTTCTTAGGAGTGGAAAAATACAGATCTTCTGTGTAATCATTCACCTGCCCGTTCTTGTTATTTTCTCCACTGCCTTGCTCTTTGAAAGATCCCTGTGGAGTTTCTATTGAAACATGCTGCTCCTCCTCTTCAGACGAGGAGTAGCTGTTAAAGGAAGTGATCTGATCTGCCTTCGCCCATGCCTCGTCTGATCTAGTGGTAGTTTTAGTGGCATTACTTTGATTAGATGAGGACCAGGAGGCCTGACTGCGGTCCCTCCTCTCTCTGGTGAAATGAAAGCAAGAATGAATGATAGTTTTCTGTGGTTTAGTCCCCTCGAGAACATTCTCTGTCGCGAGCCCTTGCAGCTCTGCCAGATCTTTGGTCCGTTTCTGCGTCTCCTTGTAGATTCTACAGTAAAGGATGGTCATAACGGAGACAGGGATGTAGAAAGCAGCGATGGCTGTGCCAAATGTGATCACAGGCTCTGTTAAAAACTGAATCTGGCACTGGTCAGGAGGCACGTTTCTCTCCCCTACAAAGTACTGCCAGCACAGAATGGGTGGCGCCCAGAGGACAAAAGACACCAGCCAAGCGAGGCCGATCATGATGGCAGCTCTCTTTGGAGTCCTTTTAGCCCTGTACGTCAGCGGCCTCGTGATGGAGAAGTACCTGTCGAAGCTGATGACGAGTAAGTTCATAACTGAGGCATTGCTGGCTACATAATCCACTGCCAGCCAGAGATCACATGCAAGGTTCCCCAAGGACCAGTAACCCATCAGGATGTACGTGGTGTATAAGTTCATGGACAACACTCCGATGATGAGGTCAGCGAACGCCAAACTCAGCAGGTAGTAATTGTTAACAGTCTTCAGCTGGCTGTTGACTTTGAAAGACAGCAACACCAGCACGTTACCCACGATAGTTATCAAGCTGACAATGGCCGACACTGTAGCGATGGTTATGACCTCCCAGACGTTGAAGGGAGCCACCTGTGATGCGTTGGTAAAAGTGCTGTTTGGAGGATCTACATCCATGTTGTTATGTCTGTGTTGCAGTTGACAGGTCAGAGGGAGGCACACTTTTGTGGATCCATTAAGAGGCTTCCTGAAATAAAAAGCAAAACATAAATGAGATACAGTTGCACATAAATGTATTATTATTATTATTATTATTTTTTTTTTTTTTACAGCAGGATAAACCCCTGTAGATATATTGTTTTCAATGGGTCACAAAACATGCTCATGTAAACTACTATTAGTTCTGTAGTACTTGAAGTATTCAGTTTATTAAAATATGTTTATGTCCTCAGTGGACATGTTTGTAATAATACAGTGGTTTTATATGATATTCATTAAAAAAAAAAGACAAACTAACCCACTTTATTTAATAACATTGATTTTATTTACAACTTGTGATGTAGTGCTGTATGTTACTATGGAATAAAAAAAAAAGATTATTGATGATGTTTGCATATCATTTGCAGATTTTTTTTTATTAAAAGGAACAAAATTCCTTACAGCTGTATTGAAATTTCAATTGCACAAATCTAATATAACTTAATGAATAAGATCCACTGAAAGCTTTTTTATGTATATATTTTTACATAAATCGTGCAGCTGTTTTTTTCAGATTTATTTTGAAATATATTTATTTATCTATTTATTCAATTTTAATTTTAATTTTTGTATTCAAAAAGAATTATTTTTGTTATATTACATTGTTTTTTTCCCAATAAAATAATTTTAAATAACAAAATAAAATGTAGGTCTTTTTAAGACAGCCTAATATTGGAAATAATTTTAAAAATATTAACATTCAAACAATAAAAATATTGACATTCAATTTTTAAATACAAAATGATTATTGCCCATACTTCAGTCAACAGATGACATCGATTATTTTGGTCCAAATGAGACCGGGAACCATCAGACGCCATTTTGTCGCGGGACACCATTCCATGTAACACTCGTTCCGTTCAACTCTTAGGGTGTTACATGCTAAACCGTCCGGCCACAGTTGTAAGCAATGGAAGGTAGACCGAGCAGAGGCAGAGGCAGAGGCGGCAGTTGGAAAAGAGGCGGCCGGGGTGGAAACGACGGCGACAGCGGTGGCGGTGAACACCGGGGCAGAGGCCGAGGAGGCCACTACCGAGGCCGGGGGAAAAGAGACCACTACCGCGGTCGTGGACGCGGGGGAGGCGGCCATGCAGCAGAGTTCCATCACCGGGTGAGACAGCATGGAAGCTGCGTTCAACAGGCGCTGCTCCCCGTCACCCCGCTGGACCAAACCTCGTTGACCAAAACAGTTATTTTGGGATTGCGCCACAAAGACAACACCCACAGTACTTTAACAATGGAATAAAAGTTAACAAGACCTCCTCTTCATTTCGGCATAAGTAGCAAGAATTTTAGTATAATTGTTCGCTCATTTGTCCCAAAATACTCTCTTAACTGAGCACCGTGTAAACTTTTAAATACCGATACTTTCTATAAAAAAAGGTTGTGCTTTGTGGGTAATCTGACCGATAGTCAGACAAAATAATATGACGTCAACACGTTTGCCAATATGTGACAATTTTTCCATGCAATTAAAGCACAGGCTTTGTAGCAGCTTTAGATTTGTGAGTCATAATATTTATAGCCTCAGAACAGATAGGTGGAGCACTGTGCAGTAGATAAGTGGGTCTGTGTCAACATAATCAAATCCACACTTATCTACTGTACATGCGTAATGCACACGCCATGACTTCCTGTCAGCATGTATGGTTAGACTGAGAGGAATGTTGGTAGTGATCAAGCTCTTACACAACACTTCAACATTGTCACTGGGCCTTGGATTTGACACCAGAGAGTATGCTTAATTTACAGCAGGATGTTCTGTCAGATGATGCTCCTGCCATGGTAACTACAGAATTAGCAGGGAAACAATAGGGGCTCTGTGATTGCAATCATACAAATCTCTTTTGGTACATAGGAGCTCCTTGATTGCAATCATAAAAAAAAATCCTTGCATGGATCCATAGCTACCATGGGGGCTTTGATGATACTGTTGTGAGAAAATATAGCGCTGTTGTGTGTGTTTGATTTTCTTAAGCTTTTATTTTTATAGCATTTTCAGTATAAGAAGCAAGTGTAGAGCAGACATAAAAATCCCTTGATCGGTGTCAAAGAACTGTCGCCAACAATCCCCCTTCAACCAGAAAAACTGAGCAGGCTTTGTCCCTCTGACACATCTGCACATTACCATGACAACCTCAGCAAAGGTTTGTGCAGCTATGTGACAGAACAGCAAGAAATCCATGACGCAGACGTATTTAATTAGTTCAGTTGTGGACATCTATTCTTTGTCATACAGTGCCATTTACCTTGACCCTTTTGTTAAGCTTAGCTACCAGTCATGAGTAACAGCTATGTGTTAATGACGGCTTTACAAAGCGCTCTTTGAATTAGCTTTGTCGAGCACCATCAGAGGAGTGTTGTTCCTGTCATGGAAAAATCTTTAGTCATTGTACCTAAGACTAGCTGGCTCCACATAGTTTATAAAGTTGGAGTGATCTACACCACCAAAGTATTTAAAATCAAAATGCAGTTCATTTTGTTCTCTGGAAAGGTGGCATATTTCAGAAGTTATGTAATGGTGTGCCAGAAGGTGCACATACATTTCCCAACCATCTCTGATGAAATACAGGAATAAAGAACGTGTTAAAGTACCTGCAGAATACGCAGCAAACAACAATGAACAATCGTGCTCCAAGAAAACAACAGTAAACTATAGAGTGGTTATCTGACTTTCTTCCTCACTCTGACATATCACCCAATGTTTCCTGTGTAGGGTTGCAACGGTATAACGGTATTATTGTGTGCCACGGTATGAAAATTGACAGTTATCCTACTGTGTACATTTGCTTATCTACAGTATCTAAAAAAAAAATGCATCCAGACAGAGACTCTCACCTGCACGAAATGATATAATAATTGTGTAATACTGTATACTGTGAAACTGTGATATTTTCTAGGACGGTCATCCTACAATGAAAATCTCATATTGTTAAAACCAGAAGTGAGAGCAGTTAGAGGGGATAAAGGGGATGTCACACCTTTCAAATGAAACGTGCCCTCTTTCGAATACAATTACAGATTTTTCTGGGTTTGAATATTGTTGGAAACTTTTGGGATAATCCAAGTACACAGCTCAACAAATATATTATAGGTATAGTCCTTTTTGACATTTAAAGCTTGAATGTGAAATAGGGCTTCAACCATTAGTCGACTAATCGATGACTAATCGACTATTAAAATAATCGGTGACTATTTCAGTAGTCGACTAATCAGTCATTTTTCATAGAAAAGTACTATAAAAGTACCCCAAAATACTCTTATTGCAGCTTCTGACGTTCAGATATTGGCAGCTTTACACACTCTCCCATGACGGTGAACTAAAACCCTTTGGCGTGAGTATGAAACAAGACATTAGATGACATAATTTTGGGGTTTGGGAGAGACAAACTGACATTTTTCAACATTTTAACACATTTTTTGATAAAATGATTAGTCAACTAATCGAAGAAATAATCGAAAGATTAGTCGACAATGGAAATAATCGTAGGCTGCAGCCCTAATGTGAAATTTTATACCTTTGAATAATAGGTTTTTCCCACGATCGACAGCCCTGAACCAAAAGATATTCAGTTTACAGTGATAGAAAACAGAGAAAAGCAGCAAATCCTCACATGTAAGCAGCTGGAAGCGGGTCATTTTTAGTATTTCTGCTTGACAAATAAAACACATTGATTTTCTATCAGTGAACTAATTGTTTACGGTCTGCAATGTCCTTCTGTTAGTTTGATTGTGGGCAAAGGCTTTCTAAAAATTTGAAATGCTTCTGAAAAGTCTGTCCTCCTCCTATCCTAACAAGAGCCCTTTTTAGATAGGAATTGTCTCAAATTGGAGATTAACAATTCATGGATCAAGATATTTTCAAAATACAGCTCCTGTTTTTGAAGTATTCAGTTGAATTACCTAGTTGTGTCATCAAAAGTATCGATTTACTGATACATATTGATTCTGAAGTTTTGAAACAGTTTTAATAGTCATTGTAGGGCTGCAACCTACGATTATTTTCATTGTCGACTAATCTGTCGATTATTTCTTCAATTAGTCAACTAATCATTTTATCAAAAAATGTGTTAAAATGTTGAAAAATGTCGGTCTGTCTCTCCCAAACCCCAAAACTATGTCATCTAATGTCTTGTTTCGTACTCACGCCAAAGGGTTTTAGTTCACTGTCACGGGAGAGTGTGTAAAGCTGCCAATATTTGAACATCAGAAGCTGCAGTAAGAGTATTTTGGGTACTTTTATAGTACTTTTCTATGAAAAATGACTCAAACCGATTAGTCAACTACTTAAATAGTCACAGATTATTTTAATAGTCGATTCGTCATCGATTAGTTGACTAATCATTGCAGCCCATACTCATTGTTAGCAGTATCAATACACCGATAACGGCAGTGCTTTCCATCTCTATTGTCAGCGTTTACTGCAGTCATCCTGCTGTTCTTTGCTACTAACCAAGAAAAGACAAGTCATCGTTGTCATGTCATAGCCTCGTTATATTTATCTTTTAATAGAAATTTAAACTACTCAAAAATAGTATTGACATTTTTCAAAGTGTTGTATCAAAGTTAGAAATTCTAGTGTGGTGACAACACTATTTGTTACATTAGCTTGATGGAGTGAAGTGGATTAAAGGTAAAAGGCGTTTGGATTTGGAGCTGTATGCAGTCATTTTTCTAACTTTCCAAAACCGCCAATTCAGTGATCACTCCCACTTCCTCCAGTAGTTGGTGAGATGTAGTCAGGGTTTGAACATCTGTCACTTTTCATATGTACAATTGAGTGCAACACCATAAATGCTTTCTGAAGAGAGACTCTGAGTGTGCACTATGATTGCCATTTGTTGCTTAAATCACGTTTCTCCTTTTGTATCCCACCATGCTCTTCCTCTCTCAGAATCAAGATGAAGAGGACAACGTTCAAGAGGAAGACGACAGGAGGGAGGTGTTCTCCAGGAGGAAACTGGAGTCAAACTGGGATCGATATGAGGC